TAAAGAGCGGTCGCAGCTTGAGGGCCTTATTCTAAGCGCTATACGGTAACGAGGGCTACAGGAGATGCTTGATCCCAGGTTTCTCATGATGACTCTGAGTGCAATTGGCCTGGAATGCTGGGTTCGTGTTATCAGTTTCTTCGATATCTCGATATGATTTTTGTAGATTTGCGGCAGCTGCTCGACAACAAGCACGATAATGGTAGCCTGCGATTTCTGCCACGAGCTGAGAAGCTTTCGTACATCATGTCATGTGGAGCTAGCCATCGGAAGCCGGGAGGCTGATTCGTAGATGCACGTTTCTGACAGACATTTTAACTGCTGCTGCAAATGTCCACATTTACGTTAACTCCATGATCTGAGTTTGTAGTTGAGTTTACGGCCAGCCCAAGGCTCGAGCATTATTTCCTTCATTATCTCGTTCACTCACTCATTCATTCATTGTTCCCAGTTCATGCCAACAAAGTTCTACACAGAGAACACATACAGAACGTGAGCACCTCGTATTTAATCTTTATCGTAGTGCTTCCTGCTTCTCCCGTTTCTCTGATCTCTAAATAATGATCAACAAACACTCCTTCGGTGTAGAGGTTGCCAAAGTTGTGTGACCAAGGCTCGAGTTCAGACCACTCTGCTGTTAGCACTCCTGGAGGTTTTTGGAAATATCTAAAACCTCCAGAATTTACCTTTAACCTTGCTTGGCCATTTGCAGAGGGTGAACCCAAGGTTAGCTACTTCGACAGGGAGCTAATCAATTCATCGTCATACATGTGTCCGTGAATGCACTTTCACCTACAAAATTATCGGCATTGACCTTGCAGTAATGGAAATTGTCGCTCAGGTCGTCTTTATTGTCCAGGTGTAAGACGCGGGCTTGAGCTTATTAGAGTCTTGAGAGAGTGGACACTGTACGATGCGTACATTCTCCGGCTACTAAAACTGCACCTCACATAAGACATGGACATGGATATTTCTTTTGTTCAGATCAGACATCGTTAGGACCAACTGCAGGGCACACCATTGACATGCTTAAAGATGAATACTTGATTATCTTGAGAGGATAATGCAGCTCCAGATATCCCCGGGCCTGGAAAGATCAGTCGAGTCAGCCATGATCTCATGAATCCCACCTGTCTTGAGACATGCTACTGTTGTTACACAAACACACACAATGCTGACGTAAATGCGAGCTTTGGTGTTGGTCATGACGTTCGCACTGCGATCACTGTAATCGGACGAGTTTTAATCCATAATGATGACGAGATTTAGTTTGGTTTATTCGCGTTCTTCTTCTTAACACCCTCGAGAGTCCCAGTACAATAGATGGAAGCTGCAACTTCGTGTCATCTTTCTGAAATACTTTCTAGTATCCAAAGATCTTCGGAAGATGCATTCAGGGACCATCATCGTCGTATGCTGTACCATAGGAGTAGCATACTTTCCCTAAGATACGGTTTTGGCACTATGCTTACCTTCAGGAGAAATTAGATTAAATTCTCAAAGAAATTTAGCAACAATAGGAAAAATTAGAACTATTGTCGTAAATAATTTGAATATGATTTATTTTACATCACTGTAAAAACATGACAATAAAATAATTAACAAAAGAATAAATTACTATGTATTTAACAGTAAATAAATATTTTATGTTCCTACGCACACGTTCTGAAGCTCTGTAATCTTCTCCAATGGCTCACTCTTATCAGTACATCTTCCAACCTTGCTGAGATTGCCCTGCAATCTTGGAGTGGGGATTAAGTTATGTATTAAATCGGATGGCATCACCCAATGAGTTAATAAACTTATACAATCATATGTGTAGCGTTGGACGGTAACCAAGAGCATCATAATGAGAAAAATGGCATTTTTTGTAGTCGTGACACGAGCAGATTACGATTCATCAGCTTAAATGGTTTTCTAGATGATGTAAATGGGTTGATTACTTAGAAAATACCAATCTTTTATTGTATTGTTGTCCCTAGAGAAATTTTTGAAATTAAGTTTATATCACAATTTATCATTGATTATATTCACTACATAGATTAAAACTTAAATATCTATCTACAATTCATGCATAATCCATTTGTTCACATAAAACTCAAATTTCATATGATTGATATACTAGAACATATCAATAATCAAGCCAATTATTTTGTACATTGCTTCATTATGGGATACTTTTTGAAACTTTTTTGCCTGCTTTTACGCGACAATCTTTATTGATTTGGTGGCTTTTGCATACTTTTCAATATAGCAAATAATATTGATATTTGATCTGATTTCTTTTTTTCCATTGTGCTTTTTCAACTCAAAATGTTGTGCCTAATGAAAGAAATGGCTAGAAGATTCAATAGCTTCAATAAGAACTAATGTTTATTTTAATAACATTAGTTCTTATTGAAGCTAATCAATGAACAAAGTAATCATCACCTCGTTAATTATCATGTGTATCCATCATTTCCAATAAATGATAGTCATATGTCAGAATGACTTAATGACATAAAATTCATGATATAATTTTGTTAAGACATAAATTGAAAGAATTATATCTTTCTACTTGTAAAAAAAATCATTTAATTCATTAGTATAATTTAAATATTTATTTTATATTTAGCATTCATAGATTTTATTGAATTCAAATATGTCTAGAAACGATTTGATATTTTTTAAGCTCATAAGTGACACAAACAATGTCTTTTTATATATCTAACATTTGGATTACATGATGATATCCAAATAACATCATTGTGTTTTGTAATAATCTTTTAATTCATCATCGTCATTTTTCGTAATCAAATCAGTTTATTTTTTTGAAAATCTATTCAAATTATTAGCTTTCACCATATCTTTTATTTTAAAATCTCAAACAAGATTATCAAAAATTTCATTTTATACCTCATTGTGAAACTTCACACATCTAATTTTCATAATTATTGTCTTTTTCAATTTTATCATTTAGATTTAAACTCAAAGATAAATAAAAAAATTGCAACAAACTTTGAAAATCTATTTTTAAACTTTGAAATCAAATTTTGATACATATTGAAAATCATTAATTGCGATTTTTTTAAAGACAAATAGAATTTACCATATATTTTTTTATTTTCTATTTTAGTATGTGTTGATTTTTTCTTCTTAAATTTGTAGTCTTTTATTTCATAACCATCAATAACTATTAAGTATTTTTTTGTTAATCTTGCAACATAACAAATAAACAAACCAAGCAAATCTCTATTTTTTTTGTTGGTTGTAAGTGTGTCTAAGATTTTATTTTTATCGTGACGTAACATTGATCTAAAAATTGTATGTAGTGTGAGGTAGTTTTATTTTCAAACTAAAAATTTAGGCCTATTCGTGTCTTAAAAATAATTCAAAATTTTCAAGACTATGCACTAAAATATCAAAATTTAATTTATGTGTATATATATATATTTATTATTATGTTGCATATTGCAAAGAAAATAATGGATACAAATCCAATGGTAAAGTTGAGTATCATAGTTGTGTAATCTATGTATAACCTTTCAATTGTTGAGCTAATTGTGTAAAATTGCAAAATTTCTATGTGATTGATTACATCATTGTCTATCACTTCAAATTTGATGACCATTGAAATTTCTTTATAAATGTCATCTAGGAATAGTTTATATAGTTTATATGTGTCATTTCTTTATATATGTCATATGTCATCTTTGTAAACTCGCTTCAGTCTCTATAGTCGTTTAGAGGAAAATATGCAATTCAACAAGGTTACATGATTTGTATATCATGAATCATATCTTTCTTTTTTTGCTTGATGTTTTGTTGTTGTGTCATTCAAGTATAAATCTTTGTAAAATCGCTTTAGTCTTTACAGTCGCTTAGTTGAAATTATGCAATTCAATAGAGTTTACATGATTTGTAATTTCATGCATCAGAACATTTTTTTTGGGTTGATATTTTTTTTTTATGTCATTCAAGTATAAATCTTTGGAAACTAGCTTTAGTATCAATCATAGATCCTTGACAATATTTCTATAATTTTGTGACAATTTCACTTTATGTTAGCATATATGTTGTAGAATAGAAACATGATTCAAAAATACGAGAATACATTCATTAAACACACAAACTATTACATTGATAAAATTCTAACTTGTAGTACATAAAACTTATGCTATCATTCTTATGTAACACCAAGTAATAAAATTAAATAATTATAGTCCAACCAACTAAAGCTAATAAAAAATTTCTTAAAATTCTAACATAAAATATCTTCCTGCAAAACAAACTAATTTCACATCATATAAATTTTAAAATCTATTGACGAGTCCCAAGGAAAAAAACGATTGTCCAATAATGATAAGAATATCACCGTGAAAGTAAGATAATTTAGATTGAATTTCAATAGTCCACGAAATCTTGTGCCAACCTATCAAGCTTTATAGAATCTTCAAAAGATCACAAAATCATGTATCTGAATACACCTACAAAATGAACACCATATGAAAAACCACATCACTTAAAATGCCTCATATTAAACTTGAAGATATTGAAAAAGTCACAATTTTTTTTCTTCAATCTCCAGCTATTTTCTTGTAAAATCAAAGAAGGAAGAAATTATTTCGAACAAGAAATATCCAACTTGAGAAAAAAAAACAATTCTACTAACAATCATCAAAAGAAGAGAGTTATCTATCCAAATCTCATGTGTGGCAAAATACAGTTTTTGTAACGTATAAGTAATAGTTCTGGAATCTCTCTCTATCTCTCTACATCAATCTCTCATTGTGCACGTCGGTGGAGGGAGGAAGGGAGAGGATAATTTCGCCGTTCCTCCGCGCTATTATAAATCTGAGACCTGGACTATGGAGAGCTGTATGTACCGGGGCGATCAATGCTGCCAGAATACAGTTGTTGCGATCTTTGTACGGGACTCGATTAGTTAGAGCATTGGCAACTTTGGCCTCGTCTGGTTGCCCATGGACCTGCTCCCAAATCTGCTGCCCATGTTAAACAACTTATGCACCTTCCGCCTTGAGCCTGCGTCTGTCACCACGACGACGACGGGTCGACTCATAAAAGGACAGGACGGTTGGACTTTGATGCATGGCACATGATTCAGCGAGCCTGCTTTCAAGACAACAATTCCATCCTTCAATGGACGTGACAGCCACAGGCCTCATGACGACTGCTCTTCTGACCTTTCGCTTCTTCGGCCAGGGCTGCGCCATGATCAGTTTAGCGGTACCTGAGATGGGAGCTGCCGCCCATCGCTCTGGATAAGCGCCGAGAGAGCAGACATTATGGTGAGCAATGACTTTCGGAATGTTGTCATCTGATGTAGATCGCTCGTAGCCTACAGAGTCGCCTTTTTGAGTGCCTTTCTCTAGTGCTCAAGCTTTTTCGCAACCTCGTGTTATTTTTAATCTTCATCGCTTTACTCGTCGACTTTTTCCGACGTCTCTCTCTCCGAAGGCTCTCTCGAGTGAACGTGCAGAACATCCGACGAAGATGCGTGCATTGGAGTTGTTGACGCCATAGCCACAGCTCTTTATCTGCCCTCTGTACCCGACTGAAATCATCGACCCTGATTCTGACATCTTTTGTTGAATTCTTCGTCTGCTCACCAGAGGAATTATTTTAGCTGCTGCTGCAAGCAACGTTCCCTGTTTTGACGATAACTACAAGCAGGCAGAGTTTGGCAGTGCTGCGATATTTGACCTCTACCCGTGAGCAGTATAATCTTACAATGTTCATTTCATTGGTTGACCCCATGGATTGCTTCCTGATTTGTCGTTTGGTTGAGCTCCCACTAGTTGCAAGAGGTATGATGCATGCGAGGAAGCGTGAAGACAAAGAAAAACTCTTCACCTTCTGCATCTCATGACAAGAAATAAACCAGAAATGTTGTGTGGATGCAAGAAGTCGTTCAATTTTCGCTTGTAGAAGTTGCTGTTACCGCGTGATATGAGGAAGAAAACAAATGGACCAAGCCAGGAGAAGTTTTTCCTATGTTCAGATAATAGATGCTATTCTTGAAAGTCTCGATGCATGGTTAATCCAAATCCCACAGTCCTACATCCTTGCCGGACCAAGAGCATTGAAGGTTTGATATGATCCAGCCCCGAAAGAGTGTAAAGCCTCTTGAAACTATTGGTATATCTAAATGAACAGAATTTCATGAGTCCGATTGACATAAAATTAAAAAAACTCATGTCGAATCGATGTCATCATCAAAGGTTATAAGGAGTGATAAATTGTTGAAGAAGGTAGAATCTTTAGAAAGAGATGATGGAAAAATCTTAAAGTAGATGGATGGCTGGACGAGGATTATCAAAGGACTATATGTCAAATTCCAGATGAAAATCTCTTGATAGAACAAGATAACCAATTACACACTCTCACAATGCGTAAACAATTTGTCATTTTTATACAGTTCCCTATAATTAGAGACAAGGAGGAAAAATGAAAGGAGGCAATGACCTAGACTTCGGAGCATTCAATACTACATGCTACATATAATGCTTAGTAGTTTGGTTGATGTCGTCTACACTTCCCCATGCTCGTGTATCAAAGCTAAGTAGGGAAACACACCACCTAACACGAGTACACCACTAGATAAGATAGCTCTATAGCGAGTTTTGTCAAACATAGATACCTCAAAAGAACCAATATGGAGGTTAGTGGTAGACGATGTCGTGCGATAGCATATATATATATATATATATATATATATAAAACCTTTTGTGAAAAATGTATATGCATGAGAGAGAGAAATGTGAAACTTAAAGAAGGCTTGAGTCTCGAAAAACATGGACCACATGAATATTCAACTGTAAAAAAAGTTCTAATTTTATGGAAATCCAAATATGCCCTACTACCTCCTTGTAACGTTTCCCTCCTTAAAATGGGTCTTGCTTCATGGTGCTGAACTCTATATTTATGTTCACGAAGATGCTAGAGATGAAAACTATGGTGCATGACACATTTTGACTAACAACTCGCATCAGGGGATTTCCATAGTAGTCTGCTCACAATGTATGATAAGAAAAGGTTAAAACCTTTCCCTTTCCATGATACTCACAACATGGCAGTGTGTCTCATTGATCCTCACACATATATTCGGGAGTCTGGAACCATTACTTACAAAATTCTGACAGTCACATGTAAGCAACGAAAGCAGGTATCTTTGGGCATGCAGAAAAATGAGGAGCATTATCTCACGAAGCAGAGAAATACCACACATATATAGATTACTACTATAGACGGGAGACAAGAGAATGATTGTGTTCAGTCAATTGACACCTTCGAGAATGATGAAATGGCAACGTATTCTACAACTGGTCAACAATGATTCAAGGGTGCAAAACCGTAGGGGTGACTTTGGACTTCATTCAATACGTCCTGTCCACAGATCTACGTTGGTATCTGTTTCTATACATACAAGGACAACCCAAGATACGTGATGATGGAAATGTTGAGGAGTGCGTCCACGCTACACCATGGCGCTTCTTGCTGGCCTTCTGTACAAGGTGATGATGATGATGGTGTCAAGGATTCAAGATGGGTGCATTGATTAAAGAGCACCCTTTGTATTGTATTTCTCGACGACTCACATCTCTCCACAACCCCCAATCGACTTCCCTGATGTGACATGAAAGCCAAGTGTCAGCAGGTGATTAAACGTGCTGAAGTCCAACCGTGGAACTTCCATATGAAAAGCATGGATCAACTTAATGTATTCTAACCGATCCATGTCAAGCTACTTTGAGTCGCAAATTGAGAGAATTATGGAACTGATAGACACCAATTTTCATAATTTGCAGTGCTGAATCTGAAATCTAAAGTCAGGTCTATGATTGAATGAGGAGCAATGCATGAACATAGATAGAGGATGAGTATGAGCCTCCAAGACGAGGAAAGACTTGACTGTAGATCGGTAGAGTTGACGTTTCCTCATGGTACTGAGCTCATCCTCATCAGGGGCGAGCAAAAGCTTTGAGCGGATTGTGGACAAAATCTTCAAACGAATTTTCTCATGTTATCATCGGTTCATAACTCGCTTTTGTCTCTAGCTCGACCTCTCAAGTTTTGGTGTGTGGTTCGAGAAGGTCACGAAGTTTACTTCGTGAACTTTGCGTTCACTTCTTTCTTGTTGTGAATTACTTTTTCCAGACCTTTGCACTTTTAGTCAACGTGCTTTTGATTGAGACGATGACCACAGTCTAATTATAAGTATGATAGAAACAGATCACAACATTGGGTGCCCATACCCAAACCCACCCATGGGTTTTGGGTGACATTATTTTTCCATGGGAGTGCACAAGTAATGCTATGGGCAGTGTTTGTTCGATCCAACCAAGAATTGGTGTAACTGGGTAATACACATTACACAATTGGCGAAATTTGAATAGCATGGGTGGAAACAGGTAATGCTATGGGCGGGCATAGGTCGCTGTTGATGGTTATGGTCTGGTCCGGGTACAGATTTGAAGTAATATGTTGGCCTCTGGTTAGAAAGGAATCATAACGGTCACTTTTTACTGAATTTGAGACACAATCATCTGAAAATTTTATTCCAAATAAAATTGTTTATTCAATCTTTCTGGGTTGAAAGAAATCATGTTTAGATATGTGATGCAAACATTTATAAATCTTTTTTCGTTAACGGAAGTGAAGATTTTTACTTGATTTACGTTGAGTTAAGAGACCAAAATAAAAAACTTGAGGATATATAAAAAGGAAGAATGTATTAAATCAATACTGAAATGTCTTAATAAGAAACATTAGCAAATTTTACATCTATATGGGTGATCATCTTCTTCGAAATAGATTATTCCTGCAACTAATCCACTTCGATGTGAAAGATTTGAAAGAATGAATACTTCAAACCGGATAAGGGAGTAAATTACTTGTTAGTACCCCAAGGATACGCTACAAACTTGATGAGATTCAACGTGTTTCATTTTACGTGACGAGACACTCTCGACGTATTTGCCGCACACCATCATCAATGTTCCAATACGATCTAAGGGTCATTTCGAGTAGGAAGCTCTCGGTGGTTTCCAGGATACAATCGAGTGTGCCCATTGCTTCTTGAGACAAGCTAGGAACGAGAGGCCAAATTACTCTCACGGGAGAGAATATTTTGGCTCTACAGTGGCAAACACTCTCCACACTATACCAAAAATTATCAGGTTATAAAACCTTTTATTCTAACATCTGATGGTGAGTTACATTGGCCTTCGAGTTGAGTCCATCACTTAAAATGAAACCTGTTGGGTCCATAAGTAATTTGAGTTTCCCATGGGTCCCATCAAATAATTATCTCCTTACGACGGAATGATGAAAATTTATGCATGTATAGTCTAGTTCTAGAGTATTTACTCTGGAATTTGTTCAGTATTTGTTTGTACAATTTGTACAGTCTATGTATCCCTTTGATGATGAAATTGTATTAAACATGAGACCATTGTTATCCGAGTGTTCTCCTTGAGCTAAATTTTGTAGGATAAGTAAAAAGTCGAAGACCTGAAATTGGGGAAAGTACAGCCTCCTATAGACATTTCAGGAAGTGTTTTCTCCCCTTATAACTCATAGGTAAATTTATTTTAAAATTTTTCAATTTCAAGTGATTTTTAACACTATGGCGTAACATTAATCAGCTTTCGAGTAGCTGACAGAAACCAACCTGCAGCTTGGACGTTTGGAAGATTGAAACATCATTCAATTTACTCTATAAAAATAAACTTATTTAAAATCAAAACTTGGATAAAATTGTACGCAGACGTCTGATTAAATTCTAAAAATGCATGGTCTTCCGTCTCGCTAGAGCCATAGAAAGCTCACGTGGTGGGCATAAAATCGAGCAATTTCAAAATTTCTTTTGGAAACAATTATCGATTAAATGCTTCTAGGAGACGTACATAGATAGTATAAGGAAAATAGCAAAACATGTCTAACAAACTGAATACGAGGAGTACGCGAGTTCTCATCCAATACCATGAACCCAGCTCGAGTCCGCGTACCGAAGAGAAACCCAGGCCCACATTTGACGTCTGGTGACCGCGGTCCCCGGTCCCACCTTCCATCCGGTAACATTCAACACCGCTATTTACCGGCTTAGGGCGGGCTGTTTACCGGCTTCAGCCATCCGGTGGAAGGAGCACCATGTGAGTGAACAGGAGTCGATGAAGAATTTAGTTATCATTTGACATCATTTCATGCATTTTGGCAATATTCAATTATGTTAATGAGAGTTATTTTAGACATCATTTGGACGAGGATAATTTTGTGTCTAAGGATGTATTTTGCCCTAAAGAAAATATGCTTATTATCGACAAGGGGAATTACTCTTTTTTACTTCAAGTCTAGGCACTATGCCAGCCATTGTATCTACCTTATATATATATGTTCTCGATAATTTATGTTTGCAAGGTATGAGAGGATTTAAGATTTTATCCTTGGCGAATAGTTTTACATCACACGATATAGACTTGAGCCCCTTATCTACACCTTGAACATACGTATTTCTCATATTTACATATCAATTGAATATTTATCTCTTTTGCACCAACAATTTTATCAAGTCTTTACATAAGCTCTCAGTGAATCATAACGTTTTCTTCTTACAATGATTTTTTTCGATATAGGTCGTTGGATTGTGTCTCTTATGATTCCTTTGAAATCTTTATATTTCAAGCATACAATTACGTTTTTTTTCGTTGGATTATGGCTCAAGTATGCATTAAGCTTTTTTCATTAAATTCAAATATTTTTTCAACAATAGACATGTGTGAATTGGGGTTGATGCATTCACATTTTTGGTCCTTACATTGGATTGAAATATTCTAGATGCAACATGTGTTTATGAAATATAATGTCCATACAGAGTAGAGAGGATACTTGAAAACAATGCTGTCTAAGATGTCATGTTTGCGAAGTCACGTTAAGTAGATCCTT